CAATCAGCGCCGACGCAAATGACGTCACACACGACAACAGCTAAGCTAAGTTAGCCGAGACGACACTCGAAGTCATACGGACACAATTTTCTGCCAATCTGTGTTTTTCCCTTTTTGGCCAAATATATTTTTTTACGACAACTGTCTTGTCCACGGCGTCTTTTATTCGTTCTACTGGGGTTTAGCAGGTGTGTTTATAAAGAGACGAAAATTGTTTGGGGACTATCCCCCACATTCTAGTTGAGATGGTATAACCCAAGTGGCAAAATGACGCTTGCTACTGTTGTTGCGAGTTGCCATTCGTTCTACTAAACCATTAGTCAAACGCCATCATGTCTTCTGTCGTTATTACACAAACAAAAATCTCTTTACTGTTACTAGTGTTAGTGCCTCAATATGGCTACGCTCGTGAAAGCAATACAACGAACTCAAACGCGTCTTCGTCCAATGTTGTCAACTAATATCCGGATTAATTTTATTTTCCTCAATTCTCCGGAGAAATTTTCATAAAAATTTGAAAAACCCGGAATTCCGGGAAAATCCGGAGGACTTTCATCTCTGCTGTATTAAAGTAATCCAAAAGAGACGTGGTGCTCCAAGCCCTGCGTATGATTATTGTGGTATTGTCTGTTTTCATCGTGTTGCTCCACTGTTTATGTTCAAATATGTGAGGATTGACCCAGTAGTTACTGAGATGTAAGGGCTCAAAGGAAGGCGGCCTTTTTGCCGAACTAATAGGTCGGTGGGCCACACCTCCAAAACACCTGCCCCGACTGACCTAAAATTTGAGATGTCGTGTGGTGCCATCACATCACTTGGTTACATTTTTTCTGAGTTTTTCGGGGAGTGAATTGGCATGGAATGACCCCTAAATAGTTTCCCTAACACACTGTAATTTTTGAATTAACAGCCTTTTTATGAAATACGTTGTGTGGCTGAAATGTTGATAAATTCAGCAGAAACAAACTTTACTCACCGTATAAATGGGTCCGGATTTATTCACTTCCACGTCGTGCCATTGCTCTCCCAGCTGTGCACTTAGCCGCCAGCAACTACTCTCCACGGGTATTGAGGGTACCCTACAAAGAAAACACACAACAAAAATTGTCATTTGCGGAACGCAAGCTGCTTCTTTCTCATACTGACTAAAACTGTCTTGAATGGCATTGGCTAGTTCATAACGACTCACTGCAGTCAACACATGTATGTGTCTTGTCAGTCTTGAATTACTTTTATTGAAAACCAAGCCTTGCTAACGTTTCATTTCACAGAGCCGTATTCGGAAAACTCGTCTCACAACAAAGACTTTCTGCAAACACTGGAACTTCTATCGATGTGCAACCACTCAATTAAATAACTTTTCACCAAAGGTTTTGATGGCAGGTGATTTGCTCACTCACTTTGAAACATTTCTAATGAATGGGAACTTAACATATAATGCTTTTTTTCCCCAAAACATGATTTCATCACAGAGCCACCAAAGATGACAATTGTCCATTTAAGCTTTGTTCGTGTTTCCATGCATCGTATACTTGTATTAGTAACTGATATGAAGTACAGTCAAACCTCGGTTTTCGTCCATAATCCGTTCCAGAAAGCTGTTCGAAAACCGAAATTGTTCGAAAACCGAAACCACGCTCTTTTTAAAATAAAAATGTTTCATGAACACGTCTGCTCACAACGGAAAGCAAAACGAGGAAGCGAGAGGAGTCAAATGGTGCATTCAAGTGCGCTCAGTTTGTTCGAGAACCGAAATTTATTCGTCATCCGAGGCATCAAAAACTCGAATTTTTTTGGTCGAAAACCGAATTGGTCGAGAACAGACGTTTGAAAATCGAGGTTTGACTATGCGCATTTCATATTTGTCCAAAGACACCAGCCATAATATATAAGCAATCATGTCATCAATCTTTTTATGACCAATTTGTGCAGAACCCGTTTCTTACAACTGCATCAACCAAACGGCCTCCTTAAAATTGCATTCTCACTCATCCCCAAACGAAAGTCTCAAGAAACTTTTCAATGCATTTGCAATCTTAGTTGAGAAATGTGAACACGAAGACTTTACAGAAGGCTTTCATTCATAGACAACATTGTCCAAACCGAGCTCTGAAACACATGGGCAATATTTTTAGACGACTGTGAATCGATCAAACCTCTTCGGTTTTTCCTGCCGAGGTATAAATTTGATAGCAAGGATGAAAGGAAATATTGCCTGCCGTAATGTACGGGGATTCTCACCTTAAATTACCTCGTACATTCTGGAAAGTGAGCTGGGCTGTGATGTAAAGTGCTGCTGCAGAGGCTACCAGTTCTCGCTGTTGTCCCACCTGCAGCTGGTGACCTTTAAAGCCATCAGGGTAAACCTCTGGAAGGAAGTTAGTGCTAATGTCGCCGGAAATAAAGCGTGGATGGGTGATTATTTCTCTCAGGAGTGGAATGTTGTGGGTTACACCTGGAGTCAAAACCACATATCGTTATGACCCCAAAAAATATTCACAAGAAAAAGATGTTTGTATCCTCAAAATCATAATACCTCTGATAACGTAGTTATCCAGAGCATCTTCCATCTTGGTAAGGGCTTCTGCTCTCGTAGCACCATAGGTTATCAACTGCAAAGAGATACCAGATTAAATCAGAGCCGTGCTTGCTTTTCATAATTTACTTGTCATTGTAACCATACCATCTAGGGCTGGATAAAAACTGAAATTGTGATTTTGATTTAGGCTTCCCTCAATCTTTTAAACATGACAATCAAACAAAAACTATTACCGGTAATAAGCAGGACGGCACGGTTCCGGAAGTTGTGAGACTGCCCTGAACTGTAGTATCAAGAACACACGCTTTGTATGAGGACAAGAGGGCTCGGCGGAAAAACAAAAAAAAAAAAAAATGCAAATATCGCCATCAGAGGTAATCAGTGGACTTCGATGAACAATTATAACTACTTGGGGGTGACACCGCATTTTATTGACAAAGAATGGACTCTGCAGTCATTTGCGTGAAACATGCGCTGACCATTTTGTGGATGCTGCAAATAAATAGGCAATGGAGAAGCTAATGGCACTTTGCATTGATAGGACTTGAACATGAATGCAGCCGTGGGGACTACTTCCATTCGAACACCTGCATGCATAGCCCGCAGTCTGCAAAGAACAGTCACTGTTTGTTTCCTTTCGGTGACAGTGGCTTTGAAAGTAGTGTGTTGGCCAAATGTCACAAGATTTTTGAACAGGTGCAAATAGTTATTTTGTTATTTCATTGCGACCCGGTCTAAGCTCATCTGTGAATTTGCATGGTGTGACAACAATGCTTCGGGAGGCATTGTTTGATGCATAACATGGGTCAAAAGTGACCCGGCTGAGTTTTTATTTTCGATATCGTCGCAGTAAATTAATTTCATCATTCAGCATTCAAGGTATTCCTCAATTAACTTGTTTTTGACCATCAGACACAATTGTTTTTTTCTCTTTCTTACTTTTTGAATAAATAACATTTTTATATCACTACCCTTCTAATGCACAACATGGGTCTAAAATGACCCATATTAATTTTCATGTTATTCCATGCATTGCTGAGTGTTTTAATGATATAATTATAATTTACTCTTCCAAATATGCAGCAAAAGTTTTGTTTTTGATTACCACTGATCATTATTTCCACTTTTCCTTTCTTATGGTATGAACAAGCACAGCTTTTGTATTTCTACCTCAAGTTGACACACATGGGCCAGAAAGACCCACATTGATTTACTCGCTATTGCCTTTGGAGAGAAAAGACATTTCACAGCTCTGCACAAGCCTCTTTGCCCATCTCTAATTCATGTAAGTATTGTTTTTCAATTTCTCTAACGTTGCCTCAAAAGATATTTGATGACATTCGTGAATGGCACATAATATTTGATTCAGTTTAGTCTACTTTGAGTGAGTAGATTCTTTGTTAGAAAGTTACAGGTAATTATGATTAGCTAGCTCTCTCGCTATAGTGGTGTTTGCTAGTAGTGGTGGGGGATGCTGGCATATTTTTTTTCATTGGGGGTTAGCTAAATCACCAAAATAAATCTGTATGTATGTGTGTGCATATTGATGTGGATCAGAAAACATTGTAATGCTTTTGTTTTTCTTTATCTAGAGCAGGGGTCTCAAACTCAATTTACCTGGGGGCCACTGGAGGCAGAGTCTGGGTGAGGCTGGGCCGCATCAGGATGTCCACAAGAAAAGCGCTGATAAATCATTCCAATGTCCTCAAATATCTTTATTTTTAACACAAATAATGAATTAAATAAAATAATTTAAAAATGAATGTCTGATTTGACAGTTCTTTAATTTTTAACTTTATGAACATGAATGAAACATTAAACATGAACTGTTCTGAACATGGCTTTTCTGGCCTACTTCTTGCTACTCGAGACCAGGGATGTGTCCATCTCACATAGCCAAGCCACATTAGGCTTGAGGGAGGAAGCAGTGGAGACCCTCAGCAGGGCTTGAAGATGCTCATCCGTAAGTCTGGACCTGTACTTGGACTTATTGAAGTTCAAAGTGGAGAAGAGCTTCTCACACAAGTATGTACTCCCAAAAAGGCACATGGTCCGCTTGAACATTTTGGAAAGTTCAGGGAAGCTGGGGGTCAACTCTCTCAAAAATTGTCCAAGCTTGTCTGCTTCTCCACTCACCTCCCTGAACTTGGCTTTGAGTGCAGAGTTGCACTGCAGGTCAATGAGCTCCATTTGAAGCACAGGAGGGGCATCTTGCACATCAAAGGAGAAGGGGTCCGAAAAAATTTGGAATGTGGCTCTGTGCGTCTTGAAGTCTGCAAACCTGTGATCAAATTCCTCCTGTAGCTTCAAAATGGCCTCAACATACTTCTCACCACTGAATGGTATGCCTACATCCAAGAGAGCCTTGCATGCTGGGAAATGGCAAAGGTTTGTCTGAGAGAGCTGGGCTTTCCACAAGTTTTGTGCAGAATGCTCTCACATTGTCATAGGCAGCACTGACAAGTTGCCCCTGGCCTTGTAGCTTCTTGTTCAAAACATTCAGCTCATGTGTGATATCAACAAGAAAAGCTAAGTCCATGAGCCATTTGGGATCACTTAGCACAGGAACAGCCACCCCGTCCTTCTCCATGAAGTCTTTTACTTCTGCTCTCAACTCAAAAAATCTCTTCAATACATTTCCCCTGCTGAGCCAACGTACCTCGGTGAAGTAGAGCACATCCTCATATTCTGATTTGATTTCCTCTAAAAAAATCACGGAACCTTCTGTGCTTTAAGCCCCTGGATCTGATTTGGTTGATGCATTTCACAACAACAGACATCACATTGTCAAACTTCAGGCATTTGCTGCAAAGGGCCTGCTGATGGATAATGCAGTGCAGAGCTATGGCCTCCTCCACACCCTCCTCTTCCAGTTTTTTTTGAACAAGTGCAACCAGTCCATTCTTCCTCCCTGTCATTGATGGGGCTCCATCAGTTGTTATTCCAGCAAAGCTCTTCCATGGCAAACCAGCATTCTCAATGGCATCACACAGCTGGTGAAATATTTCCTGAGCAGTGGTCTGGCCATGCATTGGAATTACTGTGAGCAACTCCTCCATCACTTCAAAAATGTCATTCACACCACGGACATATATTGCGAGCTGGGCAGTGTCTGTGATATCTGTGGTCTCATCAAGAGCCACTGAATATACACTGAAACATTTTGCTTTCTCACACAGTTGATCATAAATGTCACTTGACAGGTCAGAAATGCGCTGTGCCACGGTGTTGGCAGAAAGGCTGATGTTGTTAAACTGACCTTTCTTTTCTGGACAGACAATATGTGCAGCCTGTAATATGCAGTTTTTGACAAATTCACCTTCTGTGAATGGCTTTCCTGCTTTAGCAATCATCTCGCTAACGACGTAGCTAGCTTCGACTGCTGCATTATTTTCTTTGGTTGCTTTCTTAAAGAAATCTTGTTGCCTCAGTAGACGTGTTTTAAGACTGGCAACCTGGTTGGCTCTCTCATCTCCCTGGTATTTTTCGTACTCCTCAGCATGTCTAGTTGTATAATGACGTTTCAAATTGTATTCCTTGTGCACCGCAACTTTTTCAGTGCAAATAAGACACGTTGGGGTGCCCCTGTGCTCAACAAAGAAATATTGCACTCCCCACTTCTCCTGAAATTGTCTGTGCTCATCACCGACCTTTCTCTTCACTGCAGGCTTTGAAAACGGCATCTTTGGGGCTCTGTAATGTGTGATTCCACTCGGAGTCAGTCTCGGATTTAACTTTGACTTTCACTTGTGCGGGGCTGTGTCGCATGCGCACTTTCGCTTTCCGATCGTTATCCAAGAAAGGCGTATACATGGCAGAGAGATCTGGGTAGCATTGTAGTGAAATGTAAACACTCCTCATTTCTCACCACTCGGGTATAGTGGTGTTGGTTTTACCTCCACAAAGTGAAACGAGCAGATGTACGGCTTGAAGCTGTCAGCTGTCAGTGTATTCGCCCTGATGCGTCGCGAGCGAGCAACTTTTAGCTACATATGCTACATTTGTACATTGGGTCTGCGGACCAGACATTATTAGAAGTACAGTAATCCCTCGTTTATCGCGGTTAATGGGGACCAAAACCACCCGCGATAAACGAAAATCCGCGAAGTAGCGTCCAATTAACATAAACAGGTAAAAAAAGAAAAAAGAAAGTCCGTTAAAATGGGCGGGGCGGAATAGGGTCAATACCTCACCGTGACTGGTTCGTTCAGCTCCACACACAAGAGTCATTCATATCAATCTTGCGGGCCGCACTAATATTAATCTTTCATATTAAGACGGGGGCCGCAAATTATCGTCCCGGGGGCCGCAGTTGGCCCGCGGGCCGCATGATTGAGACCCCTGATCTAGAGTATTGCTGTTCACAGATTTACATTTATAGCATATTCACAGATGCTGCAGCAAGAACTAGATAAGGAAGATGAGGAGACCATATTTTTTTTCTGATTCAGAGTCTGAAATTTCTGATGATGATGAACCCAGAATATTTGCTACAGAGTCAAGCCAGAATTGTGGGTGTGTCTGGAAATCCAGCTTTCCTGCATGCAGAAGACTCCTCTCATGACACAGAAGATTCCTCTAATCAATCTTCTGGAGATGAAACTCAGACTCAGTCCAATAGACTGAGTAAAAATGAATCTTACTGGAATGAGAATCCCTCCACTCATGGCAGAACAAGAAGCCACAAACATCCTGAGGAGTTGTCTGGACCTCCTCTTGGAACATCAGCTGTTTCACCAAAAGATGCCTGGATCTTTATGAGTGACAACATCATTGAGGAGGTTCGAAAATGCACCAACTTAGAGGGACAAAGAACCAAAACACTGACAAAGAATTCATGGCCTTTGTCGGTGTGACCCTCATTGCAGGGCCAGGTGCATGCCCAGCAAACCTGCAAAATATGGGATGAAAATCTTCTGGATGTGTGACGCAAGGTTACCTTATGGAATAGAAGGAACTGTCTTGACAGGGAGACAGCCAAGACAGGAGGTTCAAAGAAATTTAGGAGAGAATGTCACACAACAATTATGCAGTGGAATCAGACAGATAGGTGAATATACAGGACAATAGAGA